CGGTTGGTTTCGGTTCGGAAATTTTCTGAACCAAAAAATCGGTTCGGTTCAGAAAAGCGGTAAACGGTTAACCGTTTTGAAACCATACGTAATCAGTATTTTGATCATAACTTGAGTTGTGAACCTCGGAATTGGATGATTCTTATGATGTTGGAAAGCTGATTTAGAGAGCTATAATTCTCATGTTGATGACTTCGTCAAATTCTAAAGATATCAGACTTGTGGGAGGAACAAAACGCATGTCATAGCAAAGATTTCTGTCGGCGTCGCAACAATTTCCTAGGCCTATATGGGCTGTGTTAAGCCTAGTCCGAATTTACTTGTATTATTTTATAATAGAATTTGTCCTAATCAAACTCTTAAAACCCTAGTGATATAAAGAGAGATCTTTAGCTATTAATTGAGAGGAGAGACGGAGAAGTTTAACCACTCTTTGGAGATTAAAGTTCTTGGAGTCTTGTTTCGCCAATTAGAGAAGTTTTTCTAATTCTTTCTTGTACTCATGTTTATTAATACAATTGTTGTTTTTATTAAAAGTATGAACTAAATATATTTTCTAGGGTTAAGATGTAGCATAATTTATGAATATGTATTGATTTTATTATTGTTAAATTTTAGTTGAGCATTGTTCTAAGTTCTATTATTATATGTAATGCTTTCAATTCTTATGGATTTGAATGATTTTATGGGTTACATTGAGATCGAGAGATAAAACCTAATTAGTCTAAGGTAATAAAATCATAGATTGAGCAAACACTAAAAATAGGTTACTGTAATCTATGAGACTCTGGTAAATTCTATAAAGTGTAATGATATTTTATCTTCTAAATTCAATTTAGAGATATCTTGGGTTGATGATTAAGGGTTAATCCGGTAATTGTTTGAGAGAAATTAGTGAAATATTAGGGAATTTGGCCTTTAGATTAAACTTAATTAGGTTAGTAATAATTGTCAATGTATAAGATTAAATTGGTGTAAAATCTATGCCCTAGGTTTAATTGTATTGGTTTTCAACCAAAGTTTTAATAAAAATTCTGCGGCTATTTAATTTTTAATTTGTTTTAATTTCATTACTTCTTTCTTAAGGAATTTGATTAATCAAATAGTGATAGAATATGTTAATTTGGTACTTGGTATTAATAGTTCTCTTAGGATTCGACACTCGTTATTTTTCCTTTATTATTTGTACGATTTTGAACACTTGCGAAAATCCGAACACTTGCGAAAATCCTGTCATGGGGGAAGCAGAAAGTGGTGGAATGAGTTGGAAGGGGATGAGCCGAGTACCTAACTTCTTCTACACCATTTTTTCGAGAATATGGTATGCAAAACAGCACTGTATTTTAGGTTCTTCAATGGGGAAANTCGAAGTAAAATACCTTTAAAATATGGTTTCAAATTTAACTCATGCATCACATAATTATTGGATTAATGTTGAAGCTCCAAGATTTGTATTCATTAAATGGAGTTTAATTTACAAGTTCTAAATATATTAAATTAGATTACCAAACCTGCATATATTAACAGATTAAAAAAAAAAAAAAACTCTAATATTAATAATATTACATATTAATTTAATTAATATCGGTGGTTTTGTTATAATATTGTTGCCAGCTGCTCGATCTTAATCGCACATATTATGTCTCTTAAACCAATAATAGTAGTTGATTGAATCAAATCAATTTATTTATTTATTTTATATAATTTATGCTCAGTTATTGAACCGATTTGAAATATAAACAGTATTCCCATTCCAATATTGAATTATTAATTAACATGAAAAAGGAAAATCAAATCAAATTTTCACTATAAACTTTAAAATAATATTCCGTGGATGATGCAAGCATGGTTCGTAATTCTTATAATTAATAATAGCAAATATGAAAATATACACGGTTTCACTTATTATTAACAAGAAAATTAAGCTTGATTCTGCACAGATTAATTGTGTTAATTGTTTCACTCATGGGCATGTGTTTGTGAAAAATTAATTTTCTTATATACCAGATTTTTAGTTTCATGAGCTTTTTAAAGATCTATAACATTATATATTAACTTTTATTTTTTGTTTTTATTCTTTTATTAATGGTCAATTACAGTGTTATATTTTTTTGAGGTAAGCTTAGGTTAGAAGAGAATATTAATATATATATTTTTTTTTTCAATTTTTGTTGCATGATTTACTCATAATTCATGGATATATATTGTATGTAGATTGAGTTTGAAGATGAAGATGATTGATTAAAGGTAAAGAAATAAATATAAAACGTTGTAAATGTTTAGTTAGTTTTCTTAATCTTCAAGTTGATTTGATTTAGGAATGTTAGTGCAAACAGTAATCGGATAAGCCCCACTTCTTTTCAACCATAAATATCCTTCGTGGACAAAATAATACTACACCAACAATCATCTCTCATAAACTTTCTTCATAACACCGATGTGACAGTTTACAATTGGTCAATTCATAATAGGTCCCACATAGGTCCTACATGGGTCCCACTAATTAATTGCAAGTGACAAATTGTAAATTATCACATGAGGGTTGTGAGAAACAGTTTATGAGAGAGGGTTGTTGTGTAGTATTACTTGTGGATAATACAAGTATATTGCACTGATAAACATTTCTTAAAACATTTTCTCACAAATGCGATAGTTAGTTAATTGGTCGCTTACAAGATCCCATTACCTAACAATGAGTCCCATTTTATCAAATGTAAGTCATGTTTATAAAAAAAAAAAAAGTTATGAGAAGTATCAACTTATCTTTATTCAAACAAATATTATTATTAGCGTGATGCTATTTAAGCTCTACTTAAACTCTTTTAAACCACAAAATCAATTAAATTTAATATATTTGTTTTATTCCAAAGTTAATCTTTCCTAATCATTCAAAACTTTTACTTTCCTAATCTCTTAATTTATCTTTTCTTAATCCTGTAACTTCTCATTTATTTAATTATCATTAATAACAATTTAAAAACAAACTTCTTGATTTTTTTTTTTTTTTTGTCTGTTTATTTTTGGAAGTGAATGAAATTTTGCTCTAATATACTGTGATTTAGAAAAAAGTTATCAAACCCATAAAAACAAGCAAAACAAGGTTGTTTCACTCATGATTTTGTGGGGAATATTCTTTCCAATCTTGTTTTGGTTTGTTTTTATGGATTTTCCATACTTGTTTCTAAATAATGAGTTTTTAGAAAGAAAAGAAATTTAAAAAAAAAAAAAAAAAATAGAGAAGTTAAAAAGATTAAGAAAGTGGAAAAGTTAAAAAAGATTAGAAAATGGGTAATTTTGGAATCAATTTAAATTTATTATTTTGTATTGATCTTGGGGTTTAGAAAGAGTTTGGGTGGGGCTAAATGCTATTATTATTATTATTATTTTATTATTATTCTAAGAGTGCATTTTTTTTTATGACTGACGGTGTTTGAAACTAGCTTGCACGTATCTCAATTAATTCTTCAGAATCTTAAAACTACATGTCAGATAAGAACTCCAGTAGTCACCTCTATTATTTTAATTATTCAATCATCAATTATTCAAAATTGCTTTTAATATTCAATCAAAATTACTTTTAATTATTCAAAGAGTTAAAAGAATTAATCCCTTAAACTATAATGTAATAATAAATGGGTATTCACAAAATTATACTTTTGGTTTATTTTACCACCTAAAATTTAGTAAATTTTTTATATGTGGTGGAGAATTAATTTCAATGACTCTTATTAAAAGTACTGTATTTTTTTGTTGTTGTGTATTAAACAAAAAATTAATATATATACTTTAAAAATATTCAATTAAAAAATATTTTACATGCGCCAATGATTTAAAAATATAAAAGAAATGTAATGAATATTATTGCCTTTTAGTGGTAATTAAATTAAAGGCTATTACCCGCTCATGGGTAGCCCAGCAGTAAGCGAAACAAGGGGACTGTGCAAGTGTGAATGACTTTAACCCACACTTCAAGTTCGATTCTCGTTGGATAGGGGTTGCGCGAGATAGTATCCCTGAGGATTAGTCGAGCGACGGAATCAATTTGAAATAATTGAATTGGGTATTGGGTCAAGTAAAAATGATATTATTGGGTTTTATAAACACTGTGTTTAAGCCCAGGAATACAGAATACTGGCTCCGTTTGGTTCACAATTTTGTGTTTTTGGGAAAAGTTTTTTTGAAAAAAGTTAAAAAAAAAGTTGAATTGGAGGGTATTACGATGTAGGATTTACAAATTTAAAATACCCCCTATGTTTGTTTTTTTACAAAACACCCCTTATAATAAAACATTAAAAGTTAACAAAAACACCCCCAATCCACCCTCAAATACGGACAGCCGGCCACCACCGTCGGAGGGTGGTCGGAGTCGCCGTAACAAAAACATTAAAAATATTTAGGGGTATTTAATTGAATTAACAAATTTAGGGGGTTTAAAAAATATTAAATAAAGTTGAATAATATTGTAAGTTTTTGGGTATTTTACTGTTTAACTTTTTTGGGAATACTAAAAGTAGTATTCCCAAAATCCAACCAAACGAAGCCCTTATTATTAGAGTGGTGTTCTTTAAGCCCACCGAAACTCTTTTTAAACCACAAAATTAATTAAATTTAAATATATTTTATTTTATTCTAAAATTAACTTTTTCCTGATCCTTTTAGATTTCTCTAATCTCCTAATCTTTTTAATTTATCTTCTTCTTAATCCTTTTGAATTCTCATTTATTTAATTATCATTAATAAACAACAGATTCCCTTCTCCGTCTCTGATTTCTATTGATGTCTGGGATTGTGGGGAGCTAAAGAAATTGCCGTTTTCTGGGGCCAACTTTCTACACCATTTCTTCAGAGAAGATGGTATGCAAAACAGTACTGTATTTTAGGTTCTTCAATGGGGAAAGACATAATCTTTCAATGATAAACCTGTCACTTCACTAGTTTAAGTGCATGAACTATGAGCCATTACGGAAGGTCTACCTTGTTTATTGATTCTACTTTCTCACTGGAGATAAATCATCACACCCTTTCCATTATAAATATGATATAGTCGCTACAAAAGTAATAGTTCTTCCAATACAATCAACCCTTCAATCTGGGATTAACTTATTTAAACAACAGACCTTCAGCAGCTTCAGTATTGATGTAGAAGACTGGATTATTATAACCTCGATACAGCTCGAGGAGTGTCCCAATCGGTCATAATGTGGTTACGAGTAATCTCCTTAAGTGAACGACAGCCACTTAGTGCCATAGTTAGCTCAAACTCATCGTGAAGCATCTGAAGTACTTTCCACACACCAGCCTCACCATCAGCAGCTAGTGCGAACACTACCGGCCTTCCAATCTGAAATTCATGTACCGGGAACAAATCAAAATGAGAAAATATTTTCTAACCAAAGGTCCTAAAACTTGTGAGCAACTTCATTCAAGCCTCAATAAATTGAGTGCTTCTACTCAGCTTTCAAGATTATATTTATTCATTTATTTCCATGAAAAATGGAAAGGCCATTACTTTTTATATATCCATAAAAGGGTGAATATTTCACATTTATATATACACTTACAAATACTCCAGATGCTCCTAGAGCCAAAGCCTTGAAGACATCTGTTCCACGCCGGACTCCACCATCAAGAAAAACAGGAATTCGGCCTTGTACAGCTTTAACGACCTTTAAGTTTCAACGAAATTAGTAAATCAAAGTATTATATACCATAATATTAAGTCCAAACAGCTTTACAAAAAATTATGTGCATTCAAAATTGTATGATTGTCTGGAACATTATTAACATGGATAGAGCACAGCATAAAAATAAGTAATGCAAACAAATATACCTCTTCCAAAGCAGTAATAGTTGCAGGAACATAATCTAGTTGGCGAGCTCCGTGATTAGATACAATGATTCCTGCAGCTCCATGCTGTATGGCTAGAATTGCTGCATATTTACAAAAAAAAAAAAAAGGTTGAATCACATCGTATATTGTTAGGAAGTCCATTTAAAAGTTATTCTTTCTTTAGGAAACAGTTTGTTTACCATCCTCGCCAGTAATAACACCCTTCACCAGAATTGGCAATGATGTGATCGTTTGAAGCCACTTCACATCCTGTTCAAATGCCATAGTGATATTTATGCATTAAAAAAAAAAAAAAAAAAAAAAAAACATTTGAAAATGTTCAAATCTCTGAACCAAAACAGATATCTTACCTTCCAGTTAAGTGATCGGTCTACTTGGCCAGCAGCATATGAAGCTAATCCAGAGTCATCAGTCTACAAGGTCATCCATAATAAATGTGAAAGAAAATGTACAACATATAGAAACCATAAAGCATAAACTGAAATCAGTTAGCACTATGTCACACCTTATCCATCTTGCCAAGATCCAAGCCCTCAAAGTTCTTTAAAGTCAGATATGAAGGCAAGGCAAACCTGCCAAGAAAGCCATTGAGAAATTAAATATGTTCTTAAATACAGAATTAATCTTGTAAAATTTAAGTTCATTGAAGGGTCTAAAACTAAATCCCTCTAAAGAATTTCTTTATTGCTCATTATGCCTTGCTTTGGAACAATACTCACCTGTTCTTGATATCAGCTTCTCGACGACCAAGCCTTGGAGTATCCACAGTAAGGGCAATCGCCTTGAAACCAGCCCTTTCAGCTCTTCTCACTAGTTGTCTGACCACATTCCTGTCTTTGTACACCTGAGTTCAGATAGGAAAAGCGTTGATAGGCCAGATGAGACAAATTGATAGGAAAAATATTCAGTATTTAGAAAATATTTGCACCGTGGAGTATTTGAAACTCATGAATCAAACAGGGCAATTGAAATTTAAGGACTGTGTGTTCATGGATCTCTTATAGAAGCAGAAAGGGAGGAACAACAGAAAGTGAAAAACAATTTTCAAACTCACATAGAGCTGGAAAAAACGAATGCCAGGTCCTGTTGAAGCGATCTCCTCAACACTGGAAGTAGCCCATGAGGAAAGCGTCTGAAATAACAAGTCATTCTTAAATTGAGTAAAACAGACAGACTATCTCGATCATAACTTTATGCAACCGATAAAGAATGGCAGGCCCCTATTGATGCGCCTATGAAAGCAACTCTGGAGCCTACTTGTAAAATGCAACTTCAAGTGAAAACAAAAGGAATGAGATGCAAACCATAATTGTGCCAGCTCCAGCGGCTGCTCTAGCAGTTGCAAACTCTCCTGCATAAAAATATGCTATTATGGTCGTTTCTATATATTTATTTATGGTCATAAAGAAGGTAAGGAGGGAGTCACAAGGAAAACTAAATGATCAGACATCAAACAGCCTACCACAGGACATGAAACATTTGTGTTACTATCTAAGCAGTGTTCAAGATGTATTATTTTTCAAGAATGTACAGTTACTAAATCAGAAAATGACGTTCCATAGGTCCAATTTAGAGGTAATAACACTTAGTATTCATCTAAAATCATTAAACCGGTATATTAACTATTCCAAATTGTTCAACAAAAGAAGTCAAAATTCACTACTATGCTTCCTTCTTGTGACCAAACAAATATATTCAACCTGTCACGAAAATTTGACAGTACATATATGTACATGAACTTTACAATTCGTTACAAACCAACAACACACTAGGATATGTTAATTGTGAAACTGTGTCTGCAAGTACCATAAGATCAATGGAGCTTTAAGGTCGATACCATCACAGGTATCACAGATATATGTATCTTTTTATGTATGTACATTCTGTGAACGCATATATGCAGACAAAGCTGCTCATGTGAATGCAAGTCGATATGCATCTATGCACATATCAGTTTACCCTATCACACTCATTCCAAACATCAGCAACTCAGACAAGCAGGAAACGTTCATGAAAGCAGGGACTTATACCTTCAGGATGAGCCATTTTCTGCATAGCAGTTGGAGCAATCATAATGGGCATTGAAATCTTGAACCCCAACACAGTTGTTGTCATGTCAATCTTGCTTACATCAATAAGAATGCGTGGTCGAAACCTTTTTTTACAAAAAAGAACACTTCTTTCAGAAATGAAGCGAATAAAAGATGGAAGGCATTAATCAAAAGCAAAATCAAATCCACCAAAAAAATTCACTCATTACAAAATCCAGAAGAGCTTACAAAATCCTAGAGAACGCATTCCGGTTTTCCTTAAGAGTCCACTGGTCCTCTGCACCTGATGCATAGTAGTCATAAATCATCTTTGGCAATTTCTGCTTAGCAATGGTCTCATACTCCATCACATTAGTTATCTCCATCTTTCTGATGATTATGTGATTCTATCCCAGAATGATCTGTAAATTGGGATAACATTGAATCCATTTTAAGTGCTTCCAATATCAAGAAATAAAAAATAAACATATACAAGGCATGAGACATATTTTGTAGAATTTATACTCCAATATCAAACTAAGAACCTGTAAGAGAAAGAACAATACAATCTATCCAACAAAACCAGAGTTCTATAAACCACAATTTTATGAACTTCAGGAAACATTGAGACAACCACCAAATATACATGATTGATTATTATTTAATTCTTGACAAAATTCCTACTCCCATTTCATAGGAAAAAGTTCTTGAATGTTGTAAAAACGAAAAGCGAAAAGTACATATGTACTTTTGATCACAAAGGGAAGTGAGCCCCACCTAACAGATCATGATCATCATAACAATAGTAGTGGAAATAAGATTTAAGAGATTCAATTCTAAACTAAAAGTTTTAGCAGAAAAAAATAAATTACATTTTGAATTAACCCCACCAACTAAAATCATATATAATCACCCTGCATGCAACACATATCACCCAAACACTGAAAAAAACCAAATTTGATATAGATTTTGATTACACCCAGATGAAATAAACGGATAATTAAAACTTAAAATCATGAAAATAACGTCAAAATATAAGAAAGAGCTGATATTAACATATAGAAAGAGAGTAATGGCTGATAAAGAGAACTTTGCTCCCTCAAGCAATAGAAAGAAAACCTGAAGAAAAGGAAACGTGAAGAGATAAGAGTGAACTCTCTGAAACTGAAAACTCTTGAAGACAGAAAAAAAGGGAGTGAAGACGAAAAGGGTAGAGAAAAATATAAATGGTGGCGGTTTATGTGGATTGACAAGTTTGATTATTCAATGCGACAAAATCTTGCTTCACGGATGACTGACACACGAATATTAAAAAACAGTGACAGTTGGGCTTGAAATTTGAATTATTATCATTATCATCTCTTATCATTGCTCATCTTACGTAAGAAAGAACGATGGTGAGAAATCTTTTTGGGAAATTGACAGAAGGGTTTTGTTTCGCTGCTTCCCAGTGCATATCACCCTCCATCTACATCTCCATCTACCATGCAATTAATCTGAAAAAACTCTTACTTTATTGTCAATTAACAAAATCATCGACCGAAACAATAGTTATTGAAACTGTCTTAAAAGGTAATATTTGACAGATTTTAATGGGATGATATCATTATCTTAGCATTCTGGTTTGGTGAAGACCATTTCATATTTATATTATTGATGAGTCGCGTGACAACTTATTAATACAATAATCTGGTGAGATTCTTTGCATATAAATATTTCTGTCATATGCATCAATAATTTCATAAGATTCTCTATATATGAATTTGGGTATTTTAACCTCTGAGAGATTGACCCGTAGCCAAGGAGGTTATTGGGTTTAAACTTTAGGGTCACTTACTATAATAATATTATAGCTTATCTGGTTCTTTAAGCTTGTAGGATGTTCAATGGATATTGGAGATTAGTTGAGGTACGCGTAAGTTAACCCGGACACCTCTGCGCACCTTGGTTACCCAAAAAGAAAAAAAGAAAGAAGAAATTTGGGTATTTTTAAAATTTCTAATAATTTGGTGAGATTTTTTGCATATATCATGATTTCTTGATTTTGAGTTCACACAGTTGTTAATAAAGGTGATTATTATAGAGTTTTTATCCAGTCGGTAGTTTTAAGGTTTCGAAAGATTAATTGAAATATGTCGGCCACCTCCGGTCATGAAATATTTTACTGAATTTTTTTTTCCTAATCAATAGCCAATACAAATAGTTGGTCACAGACTAGATATTCATCTACCACATTAAAATATTTTTAATTTTGACACTATTAAATCAACCTTAAGAAATTAAATTTCCAAGTAAAAAAAGAAAATAAAATCGATTGAAAGTTACACACTTGATAATAAGACATGGATGATCAAATGAAAATCTGCAACTCCAAACTCTTAAAAAGAAAGAACAAAAAATGAAGATTGCAAGAAATATTGATGAACTAACGAACGGCTGATCTTTGAAATTCAAGTTGGATCAGGAATTTCCTATGATTGTTGTTACTGGGCCCAAATTCAAATTGGGCTTTAACTAATTCAAAATGGGCTCCTTCTGGTCTTCCCACTTATCCAAACGACTCTTTGTTTTCTCAACCTGAAAATCAATAAAAATTTAAGAATTAATTAAACAGAATAATGAATTCATTGCGGTAATCTCCCCATAGACTACCCCTACGGTTTCCAAATTTATCATTCGGATAATAAGTTTTGCAGGTTTTATCATAGACTACCCTCAAAGTTTGAAATTGTATTATGAATACCCCATTGTGTTATCAAACAAACCCTCAAAGTTTATAAATTTTATCACGAATACCCCTTTGCACTAATCCTATCACGTTGTCGTTAAGTTTGTAAAACGTTTTCTTAAGAGACCAAAGGGTCCATTTGTTTCACTCTTCCGAACATTATTCTGGTTTTTTCCAATAAAGTTAAAGAGTAAAATTGGCTTATTCTCACAATATTATTCTATATTATTCAATTTTTTTAAACCCCCTAAATTTGTTAATTTAACTAAATACCCCCCAATTTTTTTTTAGAAATTGTAAAAACACCCCGACCACCCTCCGGCAGTGGTGGTCGGCTGTCCGTATTTAATGGGTGGATTGGGGGTGTTTTTATTAACTTTTAATATTTTATTATAGGAGTATTTAGTAAATAAACAAACATAAAAGGTATTTTTGTTAATTTCTAAATCCTACATCCTAATACCCATCCAATTTAATTTTTTTCTATTTTAAAAATTATTAAAATAATGAACCAAACGTAACATTATATTCTCCCATTAATTGTGTCAATTCGTAGTGTTTTTATTCAACTATTTGTAATTAAATTATTTATTTTGTTTCATTAGACAATGATTAAGATCCCTCTCCAAATTGCAAGATGACAAAAATCCCACTTTTCTTAATGGGAAACAGCTTTTCATCTAACTTTCTACACACACTTTATTGTATTATATTTTTAATTATTTTACGACAAGGAACACAATGGTTGAGGCTGTCGTTTTGTTTATATTTCTAAAGTCTTTTTTGTGTTATCTCTTTTCTTATGTTATTGTCAACATTGACTGGAAGTTAAAAACGTTAAATTAAATTTGTCTAATGATTCTGTGATTGATTGGCATTGAAATTCAGCAAAATCAAAATCGAAATCAAACAAGAATGTTAGGTGTAGTTATAGTTGCCAATTCATGTTTTTGTACCTCTTTGTCTTTGATTAATCATATGATAATTGAAATGTAATTAATTAATTAATTACCTCTTTCTTCCAATCGGTCCGAAATGTGACATATAATAAGATGAGAGTTTGAATAAGAGTTCCTCCGATCATCCCAGTCCATATTCCCTGCACCATATTAATCATTAATTTAATCATGGATTAATATTTTTTCTTCTTTTTTTTTTTTTTGGTATCCGAAAGTGTCCGACCAGTTTGCGTGCACCTCAACTAATCCTCCAAAATCCTAAAGTTAACGGTCAAGTAAGTCTCTTGTAGCTACTCCTTATTAGTAATTGTAAAGATTCAAACTTAGAACTTCTTGAATAATACACCTAAGAGTTCCAAGCGAACCGTCAAACTAATTAGAGGTAGGTCATGGATTCAAATTAATTAATAACTATTCCTTGATGAAGTAATTAAGTACCTTAGCACCAAAATCGAATTTGAAGCCGAGAAGGCAACCCAATGGGACGCCAATAATATAGTAGCAACCCACATTCACATAAGCAACAAATGCTTGCCATCCACATCCAACAGCCACTCCTATATTATTTGCCATTTCATTAAGATAAAGAGAGTAATTAAACTGAGACAACATGCATGAATGAAAATGAAAGAGGGTAGAAATTGAAAGAGACGCTTAACGACTAGTTATAACTGTCGATTTCTGGATCAAAGACCGATTGTTGTAGGTTGTTTCAACTAACTCTTAAGTGGTTTAATTCATCACCTGGACCTCTTCAAGAGAAGTGAAAATTAGAGTAAACGTCTTTTTCTCACCCAAATAATGGTTTAATAACACTTTTTCACCTAATAACACTTAAAATATCATTTTACTATCCAAATTTATATTATGTTTTCGATTTTAGTATCGTTGCGACTCCACACCACCTCTATTTTCTTCCCCGACCATCACTCATCAAAACTCCTCAAACTCTACTCTTGCCAACCCTGTCAATCACCAACAATCGAGCAATTAGAATTTGCATAGTCGCCCCTTCAAAATCAAATTTCGATGAATTCCAACCACTAAAATCTTTCTACTGTTAAAAGACTCATTAGTCTCTCCTCTTCAAAAACACCAATAGCCTAAACCAAGTTTGTTCTCTGTTCATCACCGAAATATAAATTTGGATAATAAAATAGTATTCTAAAAATCTATAGATAAGAAAGTGTCATAAGTCATTATTTGGGTGAGGAAAAATACTTAACTCGTGAAAATTAAGATAAGAACAAATAATATTTGTCAGATAATTAATCAAATCAAGGTTTGAATATATAATTATAGTCTAATCACTAGTAGTAATATGTGTCATTAACCCTTTTAATTAGTTCAATCATTCATGAGTGCATAAATTGAGTACTAATTAAGTTTGTTTGTTTGTTTCTCGAGAAAGAACAAAATTAACTTGAATATTGCAAACTTTTAACTTCCATTATGAATAAAATAAATACATTTAAAGAACGACCATTGGATCTCGTATCTCAATCTCTGTCTCTTTCCTTGTTGTCTTAATATTTTCTTTCTTTTATTTACTCTCATGAGAATGGGACACAGAGATTTCAGTCCTCGTACTGATTATTAATTAGAATGTACTAGACGTGTCCCATTGCTAGGGTTTGCATGCACAGAAATTTTAAGATAAAAAATTGGTCATAAATTGCAAAATTAGGTTTGAAGTTTGAACGTTAGTTAGGATTGCATATATTTACACAAACAAGATCAATTTAGAAAAAAAGAAAAAAGAAAAAATATGTGGATGTGAAAGGGTGGAAATTTTCGTATGATAAATGATAACTTACCTGACAAGACAGGCTGAACACCATTGAGAATGATGGAGAAAGCGAGATAGGGAGAGAGCTCAGAGACGGCATTCGAAACCGTGGAACCGCTGGTGAAGATATAGCTGATACTATGGCGAAATGCAAGCACGAGTATAGCCAAAATAACGGCGATTATAAATGAACTTGAAGTTACTATCACCACCGCGAATGCCGACGATTTTGGATGCGCGGCCCCTAGCTCATTGCTCACTCTCACACTGTATATATATATATATATATATATCACAAATTGATCAACAGTACTAGTAAATTAATTAATACAATGAACCTTATTGGTTGGTGATTAATTACCTTGCTGCGGCATTGAAACCTACTGCAATCATGTAAACCCATCCAGAAATCGTCATGCTACACAACAAATTAAGTAAAAGCCGTCAAATTTTGAAGATTCAGAAGAAAACAATAGTTGACTGACTGTTGTTGAGATAATGCCATCAGGTTTTGATAATATAGAATGTACCACCACTAAGTATTGTAACACTTGTCCACCTGATTTAAAGTTATACCATAAAATCTAAATAACTTTGGTTGGTCGTCAAAAAAGAACAGTTCTTTAACGTTTTATGCCACTAATTAATGGACCTCCAATCACACAAACTTGGAAAGCATTTTAATATTTTACCAGATGGAGAGAGAGTCCAAGGCGATTTCTGCATCTTTGAGCAATCCCGCAATCAAAACAATTATCTGGTAGTACCAAGTCTCAAGGCACAACATTATGGCTGAAGCTGTGGACAATTTCAAGAACTCCCACAACCCAGTAAATGCCTGTAAAGTGAACCCAGTCCACGTATGCTTACACCTCACACTTGTTAAAATGTACACAAATTGTGCCACCACCACAATCCACCATGACAAACTCAACACTAACGATGCGCCGAGCAGCCCCCAACCAAACTTGAAAATTGCCAGCCAACTTAGTAAAAGGTGCACCACGAGCGTGGCGGCTGCAATGTATGCGCTAGGGAAGACTATGCTTTGGGCTTGCAGGAATTTTTGTATGGGAAAATTTGCAGCGTATGCGAATATTTGAGGAATAAGACCATAAACAAAGATTGCTGCCGAGGATGCAATGGAACTAGATTCACCTAGTAAGAGTAAAATTTGTTTGGAAAATATGTAAATAAACATAACTGGGATCCCGGTTGCTGTTAAAAGAATTGTTGATCTTTGAAGATAAACTCCTAGCATATGGTATTTGTGTGCCCCATAAGCTTGGCCACATAGAGTCTCCACCGCACTGCCCATTCCTAACTGCATCATGTGTCATTGTCATCATTCTTATCGTCAAAATTTTATAAAGAAAATATAGATGTGCGGATAGGAGAGATGGTAGAGTTTGATCAATATTTACCATGAGTCCATAAGCGAAAACTTGGATTCCTGTATTGCCAAGAGAGGCAGCAGCGAGTTCGAGATTGCCGAGATGGCCGCAAAAGATCTGAGTGGACATGGACACGATGTTATTGAGCAAATACACAACGATTGCGGGGCCTGCCAGGCGGAAGAGGGTGTTGAGTTCGATGCATGTGGCCTTTCTGAGTCGTTTAAAGTATGACAAACTGGTGTCGGATAGAGTGTCTTCAAGAGCGGAACTCACCGGCACAGGTGCGGATTGTTTGCGTTGCAACAAGGGTTCAAGGACCTCATTATTGTTGGTGATACGTTCTTCGGCCATGGCTGGCAAGCACTCTCTCTAGCTCAGTTCACAAACAGAAGGGGAGAGCTAGTTATGCTCACTTATAAAATATATGCAACAAAAGACTTGATGGGTATTTGTAGGGGATTGATCGGCTTTGGAGAAAATTGGCCACAGGAACAGGATACGAATATCCGTCCATCAAGGGTCTGCTTAAATATGACAATAAGGCCACTATTAACATTAATCAACTCTCAAGATATCAATAAATTAAATCAAATTAGAATTAATGTTTTCTTATTCGGAAAAAAACATATCTACAAGTCGGTGGACAGAAGGTCCAAAATCGTTACACAATTTGAGCATTTAGGCGTTAATTTCGTTAAATGGTACATTGAAGTTTGCGATATCATTAGAATCGAGTAAACGACAAATTCCCAACCCAGGTTTGGCAAAATCCTAGTTGGTACCCCTGATTTCATTTATTTCAATTCTCACCCTTAAAGTAACATTGTTAGTAATTTTTAGGTTACAAAGGGTTCAATAACCATGATGCTCTTAACAAATAAATTAATAAATTTCTTTTTAACTCCTAACTTTGTTGAATTATAAATTAACCATTTTATTTTTAAATTACTTCAATAACATCCTCGACGACTGTGCAACCTCTTGGTTTTTGCTTGATCTGGGCTGTTTTCGACAAACTTGAACCCTTTGGTCACCTCCATCACCTTCCTCATAGTCTGTCGTTCAAAATCCCTCTGGTTGTTGACTCATTGGCCCCTCTGATCGTTGGCACTGCTAGGTTTAGGTTTTCACTTTTCTTCGTCGGATTCTGGTGGAAAAATTCCAATTGGACACCACCACTTCAACAACCATCTCAACACTACAAAACCCCTATGTTCCCAGCAACCGTTTAGTTGCCGTTCGCTGATTGAGAGGTTTGTGTTCATCACGTTTTTTGGTGAAGTGGTGGACGGCAAATGGTGAGCCGTCATGGTCGAGAAGGTTCAAATGGTGGTGGTGGTGGTGGTTGGAGTTGTTGCCACTCAAAATGGCCAGAAATTGGCAAAAACAGTCGCATGACGTGGTTGCCGTGGTCGGCGATCAGCGAGTGATGAGCAGTTGTGAAAGGTAAGGTTTTGTAGAGGGAAGGATAAAGGTGCGGTGACAAGGGTGATTTTGGGTGGAGGAATCGTCAGAAAAGAGTGAAAAACGTCGAGGGTGACGTCTGCTAACCTGCATCGGAGTACTATTAGAGGCGGCGATCTGCTAACGTACGCCACCTCTGCAAAATGATTAATTTACCCTTTTACCGTTATATTAATTAATTTTTCTTCATTTTAAAGGTGAAAATCTGTAATAAATAAAACCAAGGGTACCAACAGAGTTTTGCCAAAGCTTGGGTAGGAATATGTTATTTACGCCATTATAATCTCGCACAGTCGAGGTGTAACAAAAAAAAACTACGATCTCCGATGCATCAATCAATGCACAATATCAAAAACTCAAAAGTAACCACTCATCTTTTTCTCTGTCTTATCTTGATCTCGATCCTATTTTACAAATAAATTGCACATTTATTCTAGCTTCAATTTATATTTTATTTATTTGTTTTTGTTTCTGGATGACTGGATGGTTCATTCATGATGTTGAAGGTTAGGTGCAGGATTGTAGTGGAGACACTGCTAGTATATGTCGTCTTCTCTGCACTCGAAAGAGCTTGAGACTAAGACCAATTAAAAATCACTCGTCACTTTCAAATTATTCGACCCTCTTGTAAGTCAATTACAACAAAATTTTTCGCTTAAAATTTCAGTAACATATTTTTGAGTCAGACTCAGACATTGATTATTCTAGTGAATGATACAGAATTCTAACACTCTGATTGGTGAAGAACTGCAGATAGATTCAAATTCGTATGTGTATGCATGTGGTGGTTGAAAGTTTGTGAAAAATATAGTGATGTTAGTCAATATATAAAATTGGAGAAGTGAAAAAATAAAATAAAAAACAACAATATGTGAAGAATATCACATACATATAAATATGATATTTACGTGATTCAGTATAATTTGTATATATCTATAGATGAGAGAAACTATTATAAATTTATGAACACGATACAAGAGTAAACACCATCAATCCACCCATTATATAGTTTCTCTCGTAACAATAAATTGGTTATAACCCTTAGAACCAATTATATTTATAGATAGAATAAAACATTATTTTTCTACTATGATTCATATTTCAAATTATAATAGGACTCACTTTATTTAATTTATTCTCCTATTTTAACTCAAAATAAAATCATAAACTAGAAATTTGCCAAAAATTGAAATTCTCTTAAAAATCTTCATCAATTACCAAAAAAAATGCTTATATTTCAAAGTAACGAAGAGAATTCAAACATTTGACTCTGCTTAGGAAAAAAATTATAATACCATAAAAATATATCACATTTTCTGTATCAACATCTAGTGAATTATCTGAATTATAAACTGAACTCTTAATATTTTTCAGGGAGCTCCGAACACCTTAGCTTGTGTTGTCTTCTATCTGGAAAGAGCTTGAGACCAAAAGAAGCTGACTGTGTCTTGAAAATCAATTAATAGCCAAATATTAGAGTTCAATATATACCCTCCATTTTCTTTAACTTTTTAAACTCTATTATAGAGCTAGGCATTTAGGACCGGGCCTAAAAACCCAGCATCAAAACCCGATCCTTTTGAGACCAGACCTAAGGAAGAGGGCCCGGACCCTCCATTGGGCCCTCCTCCAAGGCCTGGGCCTGGTCCAAATTTTTTTTACATTTTATCATTTTAGTTCTTTATAAAATTACATTAAACCCTCTAAAATAAGTATAAATTATAAGGACTAAAATAAAATTTTACAAAATTTATTTAAAAAAAGAAAATTTAACTTTTTATATTATAACCGTTGGCTGCCAACGGTTTTTTTTTCATTTTCCCCCTCACAACTACACTATAAATAACCCTAAAACCTTTAATTTTTTTCACACCAATGAATCTCTCATTCTTTCATTCTCTCAATCTCTCTACTCCAAATCTCCCATCAATTTCTCATTCAATTTATATTTATAATTTATTCATATTATTTATTTATATTATTCAAATTTTTTTCTATTTTTCAATATCATCATAATTTCATATTATTATTTAATTTCTTTTCATTTTAATTATTTATTATTTTATTATAAATTTATAATGTCTTCCCCAAATGAGTTTTACGTTCCATCCACCGAAGAAATTAAAGCCTTCAATCCATTTTCACCATTTCCTCCAGAGGAAGCAGCTGTAATTCCACAACCACATTCGGTCGGGACGAGGTGTAGCCAAACACATGTGAGCTGCGAGTCAACGGGCACGGACATAGCCCAACCCCCCCGACCGTCAAAGAGGGTCGTGTCCGATGTCTGGCGATACTTCACCAAATCAAAACGGCCAAAGACAAATGGGGAGGGGGAAGAATCGTGTGGGATATGTAATTTATGTGAAACCATTATTGGGGCTGAGAAGGGGACTTCGACGATGCGACGACACGTAGAGAAGAAGCATCCCCAAATAAATGCATCTTCAAGCGGATCAGGTAGACAAATTCAAACTCAACTTAATTTTAATCCACAATCCTCAACTCTCTCAACATGGCAATACAATACACATGTTGCACGAGAGGAAATAACAAGATATATAGTTGCTACAGACTCTCCCATTTGTTTATCTGAAAATCCTTTTTTTGTTAATATGGTTAAAACTGCATTTTGTCCAGCATATACCCCTGTTAGTAGAACTACAAGTAGAAGAGATATACTAAAACTTTATAACAAAATAAATAATAAACTTAAAAACGAATTTCAAAATTTTAGGAATATATCTATTGCACTTACATCAGACATATGGGCTTGTAGATCAAAAACCGATTTTTTAACTGTTACAGTACATTTCTTAGATCATAATTGGGGTTTACAACAAAAATTGATAGGTTTTAAACCATTATATGAAAAACATAGTGCTGAAACTATTTATTTTACAATTCTTGAAGTTTTGCAAGAATATTTATTAACTGATAGAGTTGTAGCGCTAACGCTTGATAATGCAGCTGCTAACACCACGGCAATATCTTTATTTGAAAAGAAATTGGATCCGCTTGGTGAAGGCAAATTTTATCACCAGAGATGTGCTTGTCACATCATCAATTTGATAGTTAAAGCAGGTTTAGATGCTATACATTCAAAGATTGAGAGGGTGCGTAGAGCTATCGGATTTATCGTCGGCGGTAGCAATAAAAGATGGCAGGAGTACGTCAAATATTGTAAGCAAGAGGACCCACCGGTTCGACCTTTGAAGTTATGTACAGACATGCCTATCCGTTGGAACTCTACCTACTTGATGTTGGAAAAAGCTTTGCCAACCGCGAAACAAATTACAGATTTCGTCAACCGGAAGAACTATCCAGAGGAAGTTGTCAACTATGATGATTGGGCGGTTTGTGAACTTTTTTATTCATTTCTTAAAATTTTTTATGATGCTACTAATACATTAAGTGGTATTTATTATCCAACTACTAATTTAGTGTTAGATATTTTAGTTCAAATTGCTAAAACTTTTGCTCAATATAGATATGATAACATTTTAAGTGAAATTGTTTCAAGTATGGAAGAAAAATATAAGAGATATTGGTTAGATATTCCATTCTTATATGGATTAGGCCTTTTTCTAGATCCTAGGTTTAAATTATCCGTAGTTAACGGTGTAATTACTGAGTTAGGCCATTATTTAGGACATGATTATACGTCTTATTTGACTGACTTTAAACACAAATTGGATAGGCTTTTTTCTTTATATGAGAACAGATACAATGGAAGTAGAAGTGGAAGTGGAAGTGGAACGTCTAGGAGAGGCGATCAGGACCTTGATGTAGCCCCCCCTCAAGGATCGAGCAAGTGGGCGTATGTGGGACGTGGCGGAAGCTCCAGCTCTAGCTCCAGCTCGTACATACATAGACCAAATGAGATGACTCGCTACCTACAGGTGGACTTGACCTTTATGACGATGAAGGAGCAACTTGACATGGATATTCTTCAATGGTGGAACCAACAAGAAAGTCAATTCCCCATTATATCCCAAATGGCACGTGACATTTTATCTGTGCCGGTTTCTACAATTGCATCCGAGTCAACATTTTCAACGAGTGGTCGGATTGTTGAAGACAGAAGATGTTCTTTAACCGATGAG